TGATTATGATTATGATTATGATTATGATTATGATTATGATTATGATTATGATTATGATTATGATTATGATTATGATTGTAATTATTTTAACTTTATTTTTTTCAATAATTGAAATCATTACGACTTTTATTATTAATAGGTTCAAAAATTCGAAGTTACAAAATGGTTATCAGGTTTAGAGAAGAACTGTCCGGAAGTAAAGTTGGATCCACAATATGCTACACATGATTTTCTATTAGTAATATTTTTAATAGTATTTGCTGTTATAATGGCTTTACTCTGTTGGAGATTATATATGGAATTTGGTTGGAGTATTTATAAAAAAATAGGAGCAGATGTTAAAATACAGAGTAAGAAATATTATGATGGAGGAACATTTATTATAAGTGTTGTTTTTATTAGCATTATCGCTAATATTAATATTTTCATAATTAATATATTCTTTTAGAAATGTACAAGACAATGTTGATTTTCGTAATGTTGATCAAACTCTCTCTATTCTTTGTGTTGATGTCTGCAATTGAGGTAATCTGGGCATTCAGCGATGATGGAGATCCTGACGACATATTGGAAATTCAATTTAACATTCCAAGAAGACTCTATTATTTCCATTTAGCTATAACAATTTTAATCTTATTATTAATGATTCTTGGATATTATTCAGTCAGTATATAATTTAATTTATATGTAATTAATTGTATTTAATATATAAAATATTAATAATATACACACGTATATATTCTATAGTTACAGAAAGAGTATAAGATAGGAATGGTTATTTATCTTACTTTATCAACTGCTGCGCTTATTGATTTTATATTAATCTTGAAAGAATCTGTGCGAGATATAGCCAACAGTTGGTACTTTTTCATAGTATTTAGTAAGAATATAATTTTACAAATTAATGAATGAACTATATATATTATAATTAATAATATGAATGAATAATTTATTAATTTTTATTTTATTTTTTGTAGTGTCTGTTGCTATAATTGTATCATTTATAACTTGGTTATGGGGAGTTTTTGCTTTCCTTAATTTCGGTAAAGGATTATTATTGGCAAATGGTAAATCATCAATTTATTTATTGGAATTATTCAATTAATCAATCAATTTATTCATTGATTAATTTGTCCACTAATTAATTTATCCATTCGCTATAATTCTAATTACACTAGTGAATGATGATGCTTCAAAAACGAGTCAACAAGTTTTTGACGAAAGACATACTATCGAAGAGGAAGAAGAAATATTATAATTTGGTAACGATGGAATCATTTATACTGTTATTATTAGATGACGAAGAAAAATATCATATTTATACTATATTTAATTCATTAATCAATCATTATATTTATAATAGTAATATTATGTATGTATGTATAATATATGTATTATTAAAACATTTTGTTTTTGTTTAATATGAACATATGTAACATCAATAATTATAAATGATCATTCATACACGCAGATTTGTCATAGAGTCTTTAATATGTTGAAATTTCTTTTGATTTATTTATCATAATCATCATTGTTATCATCTTTACGTTATACTATAGATGTTTCTCAAAAGTCTCTAGCATTTAATTATTTTGCCCCTTCCTCGATCTAATTATTAATATTTGGTTTTTCCAGATCATCTTCTTCTTTCCAATTGCTTGTCGGTTGTCTTCTCATATTACATACATATACATACGTACGTATTTGGAATATTGGTTTTCATTTTTTTAACTTAACCCGTAAAAAACTTTTAAAGCATTAATATATTCTTGAGGATATCTTAAGAAATGTTGAACATGTTCACTATCAGGACCAAATCTTTTACCCGTCACTTTAATCAATCCTCCCCCCTCTTCTTTTCGGTCTTTTTTCAATCTATCCATAAATTCGATAACATCACTTTCTGGTACAATTTGATCACTAGGACCATACATAAACAAATAATTCATCTTATTGCCATCTAAACTTCCACCTGGAATATTTTCTAATGCCTTATGTGCTAAATTTTGATAATGTTTTACAATCGGTAAGGCGAAAAAAACGGAAAGAATTGGCAGTAGAAATGAAGGTGGTTTAATGATTTGAACTTGTGAAGATGATGGCTGTGAAGAAGATGATATAGGAGAAGCCGATGGTTTAAATAATGAGATCTTGTGTAAGAAACCACCAGCTATACCTAATGCAACATATTTTTCAGAAATAGGCGAAGGAGCTGAATCAATCACACAAAACTTGATTGATTTAATAAATATTTCTGCTTCGTCGTTTGTAATATTTAAAGATGATGAATTATTGTTATGGTTATTAGAAAGTTCATTTTCTATTTTAGTTGATGATTTTGATGCTAAAAAATGTTTTATTTTTTTAAAGAAAGGTGCAGAAGATGGTACTCTCTTCGATTCATCACCATCATCATAATCTTTATTGTTTGCGATTTGTCTAATTGCATCACATAGCATTGCGTAGTGATAAGTTCCATTATCGCTGAAAACATGAAATCCAACATTATCAGATTTCCCATGTTCTTTCCAAGAAACAATTAGCTCATTTGCCAAATGTTTAATGTCTTTGGAGATTGTCCAAGGAAAAAATACATGATAAAATGGTGGAATGTGTGATAGCGTATCCATCTTAAATTCTTCAGTATATAATTTAATATAACGTTTCAAATGTTTTGGTTTACAATGCCACCAACCAATCAATATCATTAATGATGGTTTGTTTTCATTTTTATTAGAATGTGTTGAAGGTGTTGAAGATGGTGTTGAAGATGGCGGTAAAGGATTAATTGTTTCTTGTGAAGAATGTTGTTGCTGTTGTTCATTTCCTCCTGGTGATTGTTTTGTTGTGGCGGAAGGTTGATAAACAAATGTTTTACCAATTGTTTGTGAATTATAAATAGTGGTGAAATTACGTGACTGCTTTTTTATTGAAAATGATGATGATTTTGTTAAATTTGGAAAATTGTAATTATAATGATAATAATGTTTGTGAGTAAATTTTTTAAAGTTTAATAATGTGGTGTTTGAAGTAATATATAGTAAGAAAAACTTTTGATTCGACATCTTTATAAAATTTTTAAAGAAAAAAAAAAAAATCCTAAATTAATATATTAATATATACAGACAGAAAGTCATATACGGAACCTACAAATTAGTACAAGATTTTCAGTGATGATAACTCAAGGATCACCGGTGATATTAATATTAATATTAAAAATTCGGATTTGGCATTAAGCCGAACCGAACCAAACCGTTCGGAACTTTACATTTATTATTAAAATTATTTCATCTGGTATATATTTCGAACCAAGTCAAACCAAAGGCTCAAGTGAAATGAATCAAAAATTGGGTGATTCGAATCGATTCGAATTTCATTGATCCATTCGGTGCCTTAGTTTTCAACACTCTGGAATTTATTTTAAGAAATTACCAGGCATACAGAAATTTCAACATTTCTTTTTGAAGCATCTGATCCTAACGTTGTCAAAACTCGGGAGGTTGCTAACGGGCCTTTACATGTCTCATTAAACAGTTGTGAAACAGTTTTCAAATTGAACTATTCTTTTTTCAACAAATTGAATTGTTTTCTTTACCTAAAAAAAGAGATCATTTGCAAATAAACCAAAGCCATACAAAATAAATGTATTTCTTGAATTGACTGCTTCTGGATGGAATCTAATCAGAGAAGAAGTATTGATTAAATTTCATAACTGCAAGGATCCCAAGGCAAGGTATTTGCTAGACCTTTTAGATAATATTATACCATTGGTTCTAGATTTTTATCCAGTTGTATTTCAAAGTGGAAGTTGGTCTGCATACAGGGAAGCAATTTTTTGTGCTTAGGTGCTCTTTTATAGGTATGGTCGTAAAAATTATAATAAAGTGCCATTGGCATTTTTTAGTGATGTATTTTATTGGTTTACTACACATAATCCAATGGCACATACCATTGAACAAAATATTCACTTATTTAATGACTATTATGTTGAGAATTTCCATTCTTCATTACGCCTTCAAACAAATGCATCAAATTCAGCTGAACAAATTATACAACAAGCCAAAATCATTGATCAATCACATGGTTCTAATATATTTAAGGAAACTTTTTCAGATTCCCATAATATGGGGCATACTGCAACAAAACCAGACAAAGTGGACATTTGTATTACCAGAAATTTAAGGGATCAATAGTATTTGTTTAACATCACAATTGTGTTACAATGTAATGTGTTCAATGATATTTATCTAGACAAAATAGTTAATATGAAACTCATTTACATCAGGTCTACTACTATGGGACCAAAGAATTACAGCACCATTAGAAGTATTTTGAAAAAGGATCAAGGTAAAAAATTTGCTCCTTATATTTTCAAAATAAATGACACTCAAACACTGGAAGTTTATCTAAGAAAAGAAAGGATTACCTATGAAATTTACCAAGAAGAAAGAAAAATAATAAATGTTAGAAAAAGAAAGCATCATGATGATGCACTATTACCTAATAAAAAGCAAAAATCTTTAAAAGGAAAATAACTATCATTTTCTTTGATAGGTGGAATTATAGAGGGAAATAACCAAAAATTACTTTCTTATTTTCAATCAAGGCCATTTCTTAGTTTCTTTAATTTCAATTTGTGCAGTTAATTGACCATTCTGTTGTAATTGTTCTAACCAGTTCTTTAATTTCTCATTCTCTACCTCACAAGCATTTAACTTATTGACTAACTCTTGAGGGGTTAAAGTTTTCAATTGTTCAATTTTCTGAGTCAATTTAATAATT